AAGTTTTCACCTATTCCAAAAGTGATCACCCATGTGAATCATCCTATCTATGAGACGTATGATGAAGAGGCACAAGTATACTCTCGAATACATGTCGCCGACCTAAGACCTATTCTCATCGATTAATCATATACAACTCTATAAGCATTTCGAAAGATAAGCTTACCTTTTCACTTCGATATTTAATTTTTCTCTCTCTTCTCTTTCATTCAATCCATCTCGATGGAACATATACGCGAGTTTATTGATTAATCCAATTATCTTGATAATTTGGATGTATCAGCCTAATCTCTCCTATTCCCGATAGAGTAAATCTATGACGCCTTTGGTTTACATTAATCATTAATCTATTTCATCATATGAAACAAATCTCTTTGATATTTGAAACGTTAACATATAATATTTTTTAATATTATTCGTATGACTTTCCATACTACTTCTATTTACTAATATCACTCTCGTAGATATTTCAGATGTCGTATCATCATCGAATGTCTTCGCAACACCACTATATTCCTTCTCTACTATCACTAACACCAGTCATTCCATCTACATATGTCCGATCTTCTTCTTCGTATTACTCTTCATCTATGATGAATTATTATCCTTCTGCTTCGCATTCTACATCATTTACTTCTAATACGTCAAATTTGTTGCCTCCGCAACATGCGGATGGTAATAGCCATGTACCTATAAACCTTCAGAGTGTGTCTCACCCCGACCCACAATCTACAACATTTACATCTCGACAACACAAGTTAACAACACAACCAGTTTATTTTATTCTGGCTGATAGTCATGGACGAGCTCTCCCGTCATTATCTACAAACGATTACCAGGTCAACATCAAATTTCTATCGGGTTTACATTGGGCAAATGAAGAGTGTATTAGATTATGTGCAAAAACCTTACTTGATTCAGATATTATTTCTTCGGATTTATCTGTATGCACTAGTACAATATTGCTTATAGGTACTAATTCAATTCGAAATGATTATGCTCCCATTATTATCAATCAGATTGCGTCCATTGTTGATCTTATTCATTCTCAACATCCGCACCTCCGAGCAAAATCTAACATCACGATCCTGTCTAGTTTTCCTTGCGTAAACAAATCTTCATTATTTCCATCAACTCAGGAATTAGCAACGAACATAAATTGTTATAATAATCTTCTTCAAGAGTTAGCATTACGCAAAAACTTCTCTATTCTCGATGTCCCCATCACATCTAATCACCTAAAGAATGACGGCATGCATATCCACTCGTCTCATTTCTTTATATTAAGTGATACTATTGATCATTATATACATCACTTATATGATCAAATACCTAAAACCTCTCGTATTCATAATCGCTCACGCGATGCTATTACCCGTCGGAACACAAACCGGCATATTAAACAAGTAGCACGACAACAACAGCAAACGGTAACCCGTTCGATTGCTCATGCATGGAAATTACATGACTTTAAGCAATATTTACAACATAAACAGATCCGCTATAATCGTTTACCCGAAATTCGCCAACACCAAGTCCGAATTCAGTTCAATGACATTCACCAATATAATCATGCTGAAGCAACATTATCTGAGGACGAATTTAATGAAATGAATTATTATAAATGGCTAAACTATGAACATTAAATTTTGTTTGTTGTTGAAGTTGGATCTATATTATTCCCCTTTTTTCCCCCCTAAGATATCAGCTCTTGTTATAGTTGATAACTATCATTTCTTGTTATGTTTTGTGTGTTTGTCGTTAACGTTGGATTTCTATTTTTCCTTTTTTCTCAGATATCAACTCTTGTTATAGTTGACAACTGTCTTTCTTGTTATTTTTTTGTTTGTTTGTTTTGTTATTTGTTTCATCCCCTCATATACTTTCTTTTGTCAATCCTTTGTTTTGTGCGCTTACATCTCCTCATTTCCCATCACAGATAAGAATGTTCTGTTGGCTTCCTCACTCACGGGGGTGGCAAACGCCAGTTCATTCTTCTCTGGGGAAAAGGGGGAGGTGTTAGCGTCAACGGTTATAACATCATGACGCTACACTATATATA